TACAATATAATATGTAAATTGCATGTAATATTACTAATAATATTGCAGTATAGTGGTATAGCACAATATAATAATATATAATAATAGTATTGTGCTATGTTAATAATATATGATATATACATATATTAATAATATTATGTAATACAATATAATACTGATAATATATAATGATTATATTGCATATAATAATATTACTAATAATATTGCAGTATAGTGGTATAGCACAATATAATAATATATAATACTAATTTTGTGCTTACAATATAATACTGATAATAATTCAATATAATAACAATACTATTGCATATAATAATATTACTAATAATATTGCAGTATAGCGGTATAGTACAATATAATGATATATAACACTAATATCGTGCTATGCTAATAATGTAATATATGATGTATACATATAAAATTAATATTATTGTAATGTAATAGTATATAGTGCTGATGATAATTCAATATAATAATATTGTAATATAGTATTAATATATTAACTATAATACTACTGATAATATATAATGATAATACTGTTTTATTATTGTATATTTTAAGTTGTAATGTTTTTAATTGTGAGCTGCTTTGAGTCTTCATATGGATAAATAGATAATAATGTAATGTATTTTGGGGGGGATAAATATTCAGTTTCCATTAATGCAGGCATGGGCCAACTTCGGCCTTCCCTCCAGGTGTTTTGGACTACAACTCCCACAATTCCTAACAGCCTAGGCTGTTAGGAATTGTGGGAGTTGTAGTCCAAAACACCGGGATGGCCGAAGTTGGCCCATGCTTGATATAGATGCACCCTAATTACTCTCATAAATGTCTTCTCTGTAGCCTGCCACCCTTTTGTTGGACTACAACTCCCATCATCCCTATCATGGCCGGGGCCACCGGCCTTTTCTATGGAGAAAAAGATGACAAAGACAGCCTTCCCTGCGCTGCACCCACACCGCTTCCTCCCCCGCCTTCCCAGGTTGTGACCCCTGACCCAGAAGTGGTGTTGACTCCGGAAAGGGTCGAGAACGTCACAAGAGTCAGCAGTGGGATCCTCCGCCTGCATCGCCCAGAAAGACCCCCGCGGAGACAAGTAAGATGGATAAGGATGTTGCCGATGGTGATAGATATTTGTCCTTTCCTGCCCTATAACTCCCAGAATCCCCAGAAAGTAAAAAAAATATATGTTGGGTTGCATTTCCACCCTCGGCCTCAAGGTGGCGGAATGACCTAAACAAAGCATAGGTTTGCAGAGTTAGGGGTCAAAAGTGCAAGCCATCCCTGCCACCATTCTATATATATATATATATATATATATATATACACACACACACACACACACACACACACACATACATACTGATTTGACATTTATATGCCCCCCTTCTCACCCCGAAGGGGACTCAGAGCGGCTTACAAGATATATATACATACAATATATTATAATAATAGCATAGTACAATATCAGTATTATATATAGGACAGGCTTGTTGTTGTTGTTCATTCGTTCAGTCGTCTCCGACTCTTCGTGACCTGATGGACCAGCCTACGCCAGAGCTCCCTGTCGGCCGTTACCACCCCCAGCTCCCTCAAGGTCAGTCCAGTCACTTCAAGGATGCCATCCATCCATCTTGCCCTTGGTCGGCCCCTCTTCCTTTTGCTTTCCACTTTCCCCAGCATCATTGTCTTCTCTAAGCTTTCCTTTCTTCTCGTATGTGGCCAAAATACTTCATCTTTTCCTCTAATACCCTTCCCTCCTGAGCAGTCGGGCTTTATTTCCTGGAAAATGTTCCAGTGTGCCTTCCCTGAATAAGGAAACAATGCCCTGCTCTGATTAATTCTCTGCAATTGTCCTCAGAAGCACTTTACTACCCGTTGGGTTGGTCTCCCAACATTATCTTTTAAAACCCTCCTGCTTAGATACATCCTACCTCTGTTCACGCCCAGTGTTTATTTTAAAAAAATTAATTTATTACATCTGGCCCAGCCATAAGGTTTTGAATTCTCTGTGTTATTGTTTATATGTAAGTTATATTAATTGTACTGTTTTATTTGCTTGCTGTTTCGTTTTTATTGATTTGTTGTTGGGCTTGGCCTCATGTGAGCCGCCCCGAGTTCCCTTGGGAAGATGGTGGCGGGGTATAAATAAAGTATTATTATTATTATTATTATTATTATTATTATTATTCATTACTATATTGTACTACACCATTATCTATATAGATAAAAATGTTATGTTCGTTTGTGGGATTAACAGAACTCAAAAACCACTGGGGCAATTGACACCAAATTTGAACACAAGACACAACCCAATGTATGTCCTTCACTCAAAAAAACACAGCAGAAGGGACTTAAAAAGCCCCAAAAAGCTAAATGATGAAAAGCTAAACGACAATACAGAAAAAGGGAAGAAAGAGGGAGGGAAGGGGAAGGGAAAAAAAGAAAGAAAAGAAAGATAGGGAGCAAAGGAAAGAAGGAAAGGGAGAAGAAAGGAAGGAAAGAGGTAGAGAAGGAAGAAAGGAGAGAAAGAGGGAGGGAAAGAAAAAGGGGGAAGGAAGGAAAGTTAGAGAAGGAAGGAGAGAAGGAAAGAAAAAAGGAAAGAAGGAAGGAAAGAGGGAGCGAAGGAAGGGGGAAGATGTAGAGAAAGAGGGAGGGAAAGAAAGAAGGAAAGAGAGAGACCGCAGAAGAGAAAGAAAAGGGGAAGGAAGGAAAGAGATAGAGAAGGAAGGAAGAAGAGAAGGAAAGACGGAAGGAAGGAAGGAAAGAGGATGTGACGGAAGGAGGGAAAGAAGGAGAGAAAGAGGGAAGGTTGGCCACAGCAACACATGGCAGGTACAGCTAGTATTGTAATATTATTAGAATATTACACGTAATATAAAATATATAATTATAATATTGTAGTATTATGACTGTATTAGTATTATATTGTATTGCATTATAATATTATAAATATTATATGTATATACAATATATTATATTATATTATATTATTAGTAAAGCACAGGAGACAAGATGGAACTGTCTTCTGCCCTCCTCTCTCTTCACTCTGGACCAGAGAAGCAATTAGTGCTGGGGGGGGGGGCTCCCAACCAATGACATAGGCAGGAGACAAGATGGAACGTCAATAGGTTACACCTTGCATTTTCCCCATCCATCCTCTTGATTGCTCTTCCAGGTGCACTTCAGTCTGGAATCTGTTCCCGTTGGACTGCAGCCTCCCAAAAAAGCAGAAGGGAAGGAGGCTCCGGTTCCTCCCGAAACGCGCCCCAAAATCCCTGTCCAGACGGAGACGGAACCAGAGGCCATGCCACAGCTCGGCTTTGGCCTCCTGGCCGCACCAGTTCCCCACAGCAGCCTGGCATTGGGAGCCGAGGTGCAGGCCGCACGGACAGAGGGCTTTGACGCCCAGCAGGCAGCAGAGGAACTGGTGCAGCGTTCCTTCGGCGTCCGGTGTGCCTTGGAAGCCAAGGCGGGAGAAGGTGAGGCTCCCCAGTGGTGATGGATGATGGGCCTTGCAGTCTGGGTTTCTGTTGCGAGAGGTGCACCAATACTATGGGATCCTGGGATTTGCAATTTGGCGAGGCAAGGATGAACACCTTGTAAAACTACATCACCCCACAGCATTTGAACCAGGGCAATTAAAGGGGATTCATTCTGCAGCAGAGGTGCACCCCAAGGTTTTCCTTCCCATTGCTGGAAGCTTTGTTGAAAGAAGGAATTATTTATTTATAGTATTTATATACTGCCTTTCTCACTCCTGGGGGGACTCGAAGCGGCAATTCTAATTAGGCAACAGCTGCAATGGGTATATTGCAAAAGAACGCACTTCTTGCCCCTTTTTGCACATTATATTTCTTTCTTTGGCGTCAGGGTTTTGAAAATTGAGGCGTGCATAAGACTCAATGGCGCATTAGATGGTCTATCGGGATGAGGAAGAACAAGCTGAAGATCAATCCCGACAAGACAGAGGTCCTCCTGGTTGATCGCAAACCTGACCGGGGTATAGGGTGGCAACCTGTGCTGGACAGGGTTACACTCCCCCTGAAGCCACAGGTCCGCAGCTTGGGAGTCCTCCCGGACACATCTCTAACGCTTGAGGCTCAGGCGTCGGCGGTGTCCGGGAGGGCGTTTGCACAATTGAGACTCGTGCGCCAACTGCGACCGTACCTCGCAAAGGCTGATCTGGCCGGGGTGGTCCATGCCTTGGTCACCTCTAGATTGGATTACTGTAATGCGCTCTACGTGGGGCTGCCCTTGAAAACGGCTCAGAAATTCCAACGGGCAGCGGCCAGGATGTTAACTGGCGCTCCCTACAGAGAGAGGTCAACCCTCCTGTTCAAGGAGCTCCACTGGCTGCAGTTTATCTTCCGAGCCCAATTTAAGGTGCAGGTGCTTACCTACAAAGCCCTGAATGGTTTGGGACCACCCTACCTGCGTGACCGCATCTCCGTCTACGAACCCACGCGTTCACTTCGTTCATCCAGAGAGGCCCTGCTCGCGATTCCGCCTGCGTTGCAGGCGCGTCTGGTGGGGACGCGAGACAGGGCCTTTTCTGTGGTGGCCCCCGACTCTGGAACACCCTCCCCAAAGATCTTAGACAGGCCCCTACATTGGCAGTCTTTAGAAAGAACTTGAAGACCTGGCTGTTCCGATGTGCCTTTCCAGAATAGGAATCTCCAATAACAAGTCCCAGAAGCACTTTATTAGAACTAAGATTGCTGCACACTGCACACTGCACTTACCCTATAATCCTTACATATCACCTGTCACATCAGCACTTTTAATCCTGTACCCATTACTCTGGCCCGGCCCAGTTTTATCGTGTCTTGGTGTATTGTTTATTGCTTGTTGTTTAATATTGCTTTAACTGTTTTTAATTTGCTTCAGGTTTTGTATTGTTATGTTGTGTTTTGAGGCCTTGGCCTGTGTAAGCCACATTCGAGTCCTTCGGGAGATGCTAGCGGGGTACAAATAAAGTTAATAATAATAATAATAACAACAACAATAGACGTCTCTAAGAAGGGTGGCAACCTTTCTCAGGAAAGCATAGGCTGCATCTACACTATAGAATTAAATGCAGTCTGACCCCACTTGACCTGCCATGGCTCTATGCTATAGAATCCAGGGAGTTGTAATTTTGCAAGGCCTTTCGCCTTCTTTGCCAAAGACTGAACCTTCTCAGCCGCCATAGTTCAGTTGGTGGCTTGGAGAAGGCTACCATCTGGTGTCCAGATGTGGTATTACCTGTTAAAAGCAGATATATTCACATATAAGAGAAATACACATTGTTTGTATACAGCTGCTCCCGTACACATTGTATACAGCTGCGCCCGTACCTTGGGAAGTCTGACTTGGCCACGGTGGTACATGCTCTGGTCACATCCCGCCTTGACTACTGCAACGCTCTCTACGTGGGGCTGCCCTTGAAGACGGCCCGGAAGCTTCAGCTAGTTCAGCGCGCGGCAGCCATGTTACTAACGGGAGCGGGACGCAGGGCGCACACAACGCCCTTGTTGTCCCAGCTCCACTGGCTGCCGATCTGCTACCGGGCCCAATTTAAGGTGCTGGTGTTATCCTACAAAGCCCTAAACGGTTCCGGCCCAAAATACCTTTCGGACCGCATCTCGGCCTATGAGCCCACGAGGGCCTTGAGATCGTCTGGGGAGGCCCTTCTCTCGATCCCGCCTGCCTCACAGGCACGTCTGGCGGGGACGAGAGAGAGGGCCTTCTCGGTGGTGGCCCCCCGGCTGTGGAACGCCCTCCCTGTTGACATCAGACAGGCGCCCTCCCTTATGGCTTTCCGTAAGAGCCTAAAGACCTGGCTATTTGAGAAGGCATTTAACTGAGTGCTACGTTGACTGGTAATGACATCTGGAACGGAACACGGATTACGAGACTGGTTATGATTCTATGTTATGACGGTGCGGATTAGTTAGTGTAATTTAGAATTTAGATTAGTGTATTATTGAGATGTTGATTTCTTGTTGTACTTTTTGTAAACTGTTTTTATATGTTGTACACCGCCGCGAGTCGCCTTAGGGCTGAGAGCGGCGTTTTGTACTTTTTGTAAACTGTTTTTATATGTTGTACACCGCCGCGAGTCGCCTTAGGGCTGAGAGCGGCGGTCAACAAATGCAGCAAATAAATAAATAAATAAATATACAGAAATATTAGGCTTGTTTGATAAAAAAAGAAAGGTTCAAAACTCATTTCGGATGTAGGGGGCGCTGGTGGTTCGATTCTAAATATACTGTAATATAAATGGGTTCCTGAATGAAATGCATACAACAAAAATACCACTTGCATAACATAAACAATAATATAATTCAACAACAGTATATAAACATGCTGCACTGTTAACCACACAGCGACAACAAACAATATGGTGCAAATTTTTAGTACAGTCGTATCTTCTTATAAGTAGCTTGTGGATCAGCCGTCCACGACCGGTTTCGGCCTACCTCAGTCCTTCCTCTGGTGGACTGAAATTAATGTATAAATCAATGTTTTACTCCAGTAGCATACATATAGAACATCTGTATCATTAAATATCATAAGTTACAACTCATTTAAGTACTGATTATATTGTAGAAATACTTAATATTCAAGTATTTTACACATTAAGAAATTAGTAAAATCTTCACACTTGTTATTGCATCAATATTTGTTGACCATATCCATTAAATACCATAAGTTACAACACATCTGAATACTTACAAAATTATTGTATTTCTACAATATAATCATTTTCAACATAGTAATTTTCAATCTCTCATAGCCACATTTCGTTCCTTTGATATAGATACCACTGACTCAAAAATATTTGTATCCCCCGAGGAGAATTTGTTCAAGTGTATAACTTTGTAAGTACTTAAATGTGTTGTAACTTATGATATTTAATGATACGGATGTTCTATATGTATGCTACTGGAGTAAAACATTGATTTGTACATTAATTTCAGTCCACCAGAGGAAGGCCTGAGGTAGGCCGAAACCGGTCGTGGTCGGTTCGATTCTAAAGTCACCTCCTTTAAAAAAAATTTTTTTCAAAACTTTCTGAAACTTCCGAAACTGCTTCGTTAATGGCAGATACACATGTGCAGTAGGAAAAAACAGGATTCAGCCAGGCAGCAGAATAGTCAGGAATAATGGGAGTGGAAATCCAAAACACCTGGAGGGGTCAAAGTTTGCCTGGGTCTGGATTAGATGCAGCCATGCCACAGTTCAATGTTATGGGATCCTGGGGTTTGTAGTATGGCACGCTTTGGCAAAGGAGGCTAAAAAACCATGCAAAACTACAGCTCCCAGGATTGTGTAGCATTGAGGCAAAGCAGTTGGAAATGGTTCCTCGATAAGATCTGCCTGATCCACCTAGAAGGATGGAGGCAGGAGAGGGAATGAAGGAAGAAAGGAGGGAGGGAAGGGAGGAAAATGGAAGGAAAAAGGAAGAGGGGCCGACCAAGGGCAAGATGGATGGATGGGATCCTTGAAGTGATTGGCTTGACTCTGAAGGAGCTGGGGATGGTGACGGCCAACACGGAGCTCTGGCCTGGGATGGTCCAGGAGGTCACGAAGAGTTGGAAGCAATTGAACAAATAAACAACAACATCACATTGTTTGAATTATAATCTGCCCCCTGTATCCACAGATTCAACCATCCAAGTATATATTTAAATTCCAAAAGGCACACTTTATTGTTTTATGTGTCACATTTGATGCAAAAGGCGCCACTTTACTCTGCTGTTGCCTGTAATGGGACTTCAGGTACCCACAGAATGAGTAGCCATGTTTCAGGATTGGAAAGGATGTCCCGCTGCTCCAGAGATGACACAATCGAGCCGTGGATTCAAATTGCAAGGGGAGGGGGGTGATTCCATCCAAACATTCAAATATAAACTGCTATGGAGTCCAGCAGAAACTGGCCATCTGTCGGGCGTGTTCTGATGGTCCCTTTCTGCTTGGCAGAAGAGGGTGGGACTGGATGGCCTTTGGGGCCCTGTCCAATCCTGAGCTCCTCCTTGTTGGGAGGGAGAGCCAATACCCCAGAGGACAGGAGCAGGATTCAAAACGATCTTGACAGATTAGAGAGATGGGCCAAAACTAACAAAATGAAGTTCAACAGTGACAAATGCAAGATACTCCACTTTGGCAGGAAAAACGAAATGCAAAGATACAGAATGGGGGACGAGCCTGGCTCGAGAGCAGTACGTGTGAAAAAGATCTTGGAGTCCTCGTGGACAGGAAGGTGAACATGAGCCAACAATGTGATGTGGCGGCAAAAACAGCCAATGGGATTTTGGCCTGCATCAATAGGAGCATAGTGTCTAGATCTAGGGAAGTCATGCATAGTGTCTAGATCTAGGGAAGTAATACTGGAATATTGTGTCCAATTCTGGGCACCACAATTGAAGAGAGATGTTGACAAGCTGGAATGTGTCCAGAGGAGGGTGACTAAAATGATCAAGGTCTGGAGAACAAGCCCTATGAGGAGCGGCTTAAGAGCTGGGCATGTTTAGCCTGAAGAAGAGAAGGCTGAGAGGGGATATGATAGCCATGTATAAATATGTGAGAGGAAGCCACAGGGAGGAGGAGGGAGCAAGCTTGTTTTCTGCTTCCCTGGAGACTAGGACGCAAGGGAACAAACTACACAAGAGGAGATTCCATCTGAACATGAGGAAGAACTTCCTGACTGTGAGAGCCGTTCAGCAGTGGAACTCTCTGCCCCGGAGTGTGGTAGAGGCTTCTTCTTTGGAAGCTTTTAAACAGAGGCTGGATGGCCATCTGTCAGGGGTGATTTGAATGCAATATTCCTGCTTCTTGGCAGAATGGGGTTGGACTGGACGGCCCACGAAGTCTCTCCCAACTCTTTGATTCTAGGATTCTGTGATTGTGTTCCAGGTGTGAACATCCCTCGGGAGCAGCGTCTCTACCAGGGCCTGGTCAGCCTCGAGGTGCCCGCGGAGGAGCTGCTCAACACGGCCATCCAGGAGAAAATGGCCCTTGTCCGGCACCGTCCCGAAGGCAAGCAGGTCAGTCATTGGTGCAACCCTCTGTGGGGTCCCCACTCCTTTAAAAAAAACCCACAGGTGTGCCACCCTCCCTGCAGTGTAGGCCTTTTGTTCCGGTCAGGATAACTATTCAGGAATGTTCCTGAAGGACCTCCTGATGGCAAGAGCTGACTGACAGAGAGACAGGCTGCCTTAGAGTCTCTTTCTCTGGGTGGCCATCTGTTGGGAGGGCTTGGATGGTGTCTCCCTGCCTGGCAGAAAGAAGGGGGTTGGACTGGATGGCCTTTGGGGTCCCTCCTGATGTGCTCTGATTCTGTCCTCTCTCTCTGTCAGGAGCGGCCCTGCGCCGGACCCGACCTGCTGGCCTTCTTCAACCCCGGGGAGCTCTTCACGGAGACCCCCTTCCTGGAGGTGGAGGGGCTCCCCGCTTTGAGGCTCCAGCCCCGGACAAGGGACCCAAGCACCACCTTCGCCATGGACCGCAAGCTGCGCCAGTGGGACACCTGAGAGGAGGAAGAGCAGGACCACCACCACCAGCAATGCTTCCGGACCCCTCCCCTTGCCGCAAGAACGGGACGATGTTTTAAGAGACGCTGGGCTATTTATTCACAAGGGAATGGGCTTCCCTCTCCCTTTTGGAGACCCTTTTTTACACATAAAGATGAATCGCAACCATGTCTTCCACGTTTTTTTCCCTCCAATTATGGAAAGCAGCCACTGATAATTAATGGAAGGGTTTCTAAATCTTGCCGACTCCCGTCTCCCCAAATCCCCGACTGTTGACAAAGCCGAGGGTGCATCTACAGCAGTGGTTCTCAACCTTCCTGATGCCACGACCCCTTAATACAGGTCCTTGTGTTGTGGTGACCCACAACCCTAAAATTATTTTCGGTGCTACTTCATAACTTTGCTACTGTTGTGAATCCTAAGGTACATATCTGATCTGCAGGATTGAATTTCGTTCACGGGACCAAATTTGGCACAAAGACCTGATACGCTCAAATTTGAATACTGGAGGGGTTGAGGGAGGATTTTGTCATTTGGGAGTTGTAGTTGCTGGGATTTATAGTTCATCTAAAACCAAAGAGCATTCTGAATGCCACCAATGATGGAATTGAACCAAACTTGGCACACAGAACTCACATGACCAACAGAAAACACTGGAAGGGTTTGGTGGGCATTGACCTTGAGTTTGGGAGTTGTAGTTCACCTACATCCAGAGAGCACTGTGGACACAGTGATCAAACTTGGCACGAATACTCAATATGTATACACTGGTGGAGTTTGGGGAAAATAGACCTTGACATTTGGGAGTTGTAGTTGCTGGGATTTATAGTTCACATATAATCAAAGAGCATTCTGAACCCCACCGATAGAATGGAACCAAACTTGGCACATAGAACTCCCATGACCAGCAGAAAATACTGGAAGGGTTTGGTGGGGACTGACCTTGAGTTTGGGAGTTGTAGTTCACCTCCATCTAGAGAGCAGTGTGGACTCAAACAATGATGGATCTGGACCAAACTTGGCACGAGTACTCAGTATGCTGAAATGTGAACACTGGTGGAGTTTGGGGAAAATAGGCCTTGACATTTGGGAGTTGTAGTTGCTGGGATTTATAGTTCACCTACAATCAAAGAGCATTCTGAACTCCATCAACGATGGAATTGAACCAAACTTGGCACACAGAATTCACATGACCAACAGAAAACACTGGAAGGGTTTGGTGGACATTGACCTTGAGTTTTGGAATTGTAGTTCACCTACATCCAGAGAGCACTGTGGACTCAAACAATGATGGATCTGGACCAAACTTGGCACAATATATCAAAATGTGAACACTGGTGGAGTTGGGGAAAAACAGACTTTGACATTTGAGAGTTGTAGTTGCTGGGATTTATTGTTCACCTACAATCAAAGAGCATTCTGAACCCCACCAATAGAATTTGGCCAAACTACCCACACAGAACCTCCATGACCATCGGAAAATACTGTTTTCTGATGGTCTTTGGCGACCCCTGTGACATCCCCTGGCGACCCGCCAGGGGTCCCGACCCCCAGGTTGAGAAACACTGTTCTTGGGACTTTGCTGCTTTGGCTTGGACCTTGGATTGCTTCTGGACATTGCTTTCACTCTCCTGCCCAGACCTTGGATTGTACGTTTGACGCTGCTGCTGCTGTATCCTGTTTGCTGTGAATGACCCCTGGACCGGCTTGACTACGACTTTGCTACACCCTGGAACGTGCTCGCTGAAACGATAGCGAGTGTCTTTTCCTTTGCTGTGTATTTTGGTTGGTGGGTTGGGATTTTTAGGACTCTGTTTTGCTTCCTTTTTTGACCGGTTGGTCTGTGTTTTATTTTGGAATACTATTTTGCTGCTGTTAAGCATTTTTGATTCTTTTGAGCTGTACCTTCAATAAACTGTTGTTACTTTGTACTTGGGACTGACTTCGTGGCATCTGTACCTTGACGGAGTCCCTCTACGGAGGTTGAGAAGATGGCCGCTGTGTCTATCTGGATGAGGAGGAACAAGGTGAAGATCAATCCTGACAAGACAGAGGTCCTCCTGGTCGATCGCAAACCTGACCGGAGTATAGGGTGGCAACCTGTGTTGGACGGGGTTACACTCCCCCTGAAGCCACAGGTCCGCAGTTTGGGAGTCCTTTTGGATTCATCGCTTACGCTTGAGGCTCAGGCGTCAGCGGTGTCCAGGAGGGCTTTTGCAGTTGAGACCTGCGACCGTACCTCGCGAAGACTGATCTGGCCGGGGTGGTCCATGCCTTGGTCACCTCTAGATTGGACTACTGCAATGCGCTCTACGTGGGGCTGCCCTTGAAAATGGCTCAGAAATTCCAACTGGTCCAACGGGCAGCAGCCAGGATGTTAACTGGGGCTCCTTACAGAGAGAGGTCAACTCTCCTGTTCAAGGAGCTCCACTGGCTGCCGTTTATTTACCAAGCCCAATTTAAGGTGCAGGTGCTTACCTACAAAGCCCTGAACGGTTTGGGACCACCCTCCCTGCGTGACCGTATCTCCGTCTACGAACCCACGCGCTCACTTCGTTCATCCGGAGAGGCCCTGCTCATGATCCCGCCAGCGTCGCAAGCGCGTTTGGTGGGGATGCGAGACAGGGCCTTTTCTGTGGTGGCCCCCCGACTCTGGAACATCCTCCCCAAGATCTTAGACAGGCCCCTACCCTGGCAGTCTTTAGGAAGAGCTTGAAGACCTGGCTGTTCCGATGTGCCTTCCCAGATTAGGAAATCTCCAATACCAAGTCCCAGAAGCACTTTATTAGAACTAAGATTGCCGCACACCGCACTTGCCCTATAGCCTTATACACCACCTGTCACATCAGCACTTATAATCCTGTACCCATTACTCTGGCTCGGCCAGAGTTTTATTGTGTCTTGATGTATTGTTTATTGCTTGTTGTTAATATTGCTTTAACTGTTTTTAATTTGCTTTAGGTGTTGTATTGTTATGTTGTGTTTTGAGGCCTTGGCCTTTGTAAGCCACATCGAGTCCTTCGGGAGATGCTAGCGGAGTACAAATAAAGGTGCTAATAATAATAATAATAATAGGTTCTTGTGGGTTTTTTCGGGCTATAGAGCCATGTTCTAGAGGCATTTCTCCTGACGTTTCGCCTGCATCTATGGCAAGCATCCTCAGAGGTGTGAGGTCTGTTGGAAGTAGGAAAAATGGGTTTATATATCTGTGGAATTGCTGGGGTGGGGCAAGGAGCTCTTCCCTGCTGCAGTTAGGTGTAAATGTTTAGCTGATCACCTTCATTAGCATTTGAAGGCCTGCCTGAGCCTGGGAAAATCTGTTGCTGGGAGGTGTTAATCTGTGCTTGGTTTTTTCCTCTCTGTTGTTTAGCTGTTATAATTTTAGAGTTTTTTAATACTGGTAGCCAGATTTTGTTCATTTTCATGGTCTCTTCCTTTCTGTTGAAATTGTCCACATGCTTGTGGATTTCAATGGCTTATCTGTGTAGTCTGACATGGTGGTTGTTGGTGTGGTCCAGCATTTCTGTGTTCTCAAATAATATACTCTCTAGAACATGGCTCTATAGCCCGAAAAAACCCACAAGAACCTAGTGATTCCAGCCATGAAAGCCTTCGACAATACAATAATAATAATAATTAATATATGTGTGTTACGCCGACAATTTTTATGCATATTTTGTATTGTTAATCTTATGTTTTTACTTTGTATGTTCTGTGATTTCTACCTAGGAACCGCTCTGAGTCCCCTCGGGGAAATAGAGTGGTATATAAATAAAGTATTATTATTATTATTATTATTATTATTATTATTAGCTACTACATAAATATAGTGATACCGTTCTCCCTGCAAGTGGAAATGTAGCCTGAAAGGAAAGAGCAACGATGAAGCCCACTCCCCAAAAACACAGGGAGGCCAAGCCCACCCTTCTTTTATTCACAAAGCAAGGAAATAATCCATATTCTTTTTTTATTTTATATATATATAGAATCAACATCTTTGTAAAGAGAAACTCCAGCTGCGGACAGGATCGGCGGAGCGCCGGCCTCGTTTTGTGACCCTCCCAAAAGGCATTTACGTCCTCGCTGGCGGGGTCACCAGCAAGCATTGGAGTCCATAGGCATTCTCATTGAACTTTTTTATTTTGGGGGCGAGGGGGTACGGATAATGGCTGCCTAGTGGAGCCCCCTTCAACGGTTCCCCTCTCTCCTGAAGCAAGCAAAGCATGAGGTTACCCCACATCCCTGGCCAAAATAGTGTGGCCCTTTAAGAGGGGAGGCTTAGGGCATGGCTTGCTTGGGTGGACGATCCCCTCCTCTTTAAAACATTCAGGGAGTCCCCCCAAACCCCCCAAAATGCTGGGTGACTCCTCTTCCTAAAGAGAAGGGATGCAGCTTTGGAGAGAAGGCACCTGGCTTCCTTGCTTCTCGTTTCCATCCTCCAAAATCCATCCCTCTCCCCAGAGCGCAGAAAAAAACCTTTTTTGAAACCACAACTTCCAGGCCTTGGAAGTAAAACAGCGTTTCCCAAAAGCTTTGGTCTTCTGGCTGTTTGGAGCTACATCTCCCAGAATCCCTGACTGTTGGTAAAGCGGGAACCCCAAAACAGACGGAGGAGCAAAGTTTGGGAACGAAGTGCATCAAAGTCTTGCAACCATAACACCATTTTGCTCTGAAAAATGGGCCCAACTTTGGCCTTCCTTTCGGGTGTTTTGGACTGCAACTCCCACCATTCCTAACAGCCTCAGGCCCCTTCATTTTCCCCTCCAGCCGCTTTGCTGCGGGGGAAGAGGAAGGGGCCTGAGGCTGTTAGGAATGGTGGGAGTTGCAGTCCAAAACACCTGAAAGGAAGGCCAAAGTTGGGCCCATGCATACTTCAAAAGCACGACCCAAATCTCCCCTTCTTTGTGCAGAAAATGGGAAGCGGAGGCAAGTGGCGGGCGTTTGAAAAGGGTGTGCAAAGATGGCTTCTGCCTTGTCCCAAAGCCGCTTGCAAACCCCTCTCCGCGACCCTAAAAAGGGGAGCGGCATCAGAGCAAGGGGTGCCCCACCACCATTTTCCATTGTGCAGCGCCCCCCAATTCCCCCGCCAAGAGAGAAGGGGCCCCACAGGAGGGTCCCTGTGGGCAAGGGAAGGGGCCCCGAGGCGCCTCCTCCGCTTCCCC